GTGACACGTGGATGGACACGTACCGCAATATCTTCTACAGGCGGGACACCTTGGCTCATTTTATACGGCAGGTGTGTGTGGGTGTGTGTGTGTGTCAAGTGATATTGTCGTAACTCGGAAAGAGTCCAGCGCTTGGCTCATTTTATACGGCAGGTGTGTGTGGGTGTCAAGTGATATTGTCGTAACTCGGAAAGAGCACAGAATGTACAAAAAAGTGCTTTATTACAGTCTGAGAGGCCCAATATTACCGAGCGCCAGCAGCTGAAGATGACTTTGGGCTGCAGGGACTTCCACTGGTACCTGACGACGATTCATCCCCAACTTTACATTCCGCAGGATAGACCGGGACTCTCAGGCGAGGTAATGTGAACACACACACACACACACACACACACACACACACACACACACACACAAGCACATATACACAAGCACATACACACACGCGCGCAAATTATTGAAGTTGTTTTGGGCGGCTGTCTGTTTCCGACCGTATCTGAATGAAGTACCTACAACATTCGCTGCACTTTGCCACATCCAAGATGGTGGCAACATGAACATACGCTATCACACGCCAGGCAGGGACTCTGTAAGATGTTGATGTAAAACGCCACGACAAATACTGAGAGCAGAGTGGCTAATGTGACAACGCCCTGTGTGTGGCGACCGAGCAAGAGGACTGAATGAGCTGTGACTCGACCTGCTTGAAATGTAGTTAGGCCTCGACTTGGCTGGCTTGAATGTCGCCACGGTAACGGGACTTGCTTGAAACGTACACTTAGAAGTGTGTCCTCCACTCATGTTTTTTTTTGGTGCCCACATGAAATACTGAAACTTTTGGCCCAATTTAGACATTTCTACACAGGGGTGCACTCACTTTTGTTGCCAACCGTATAGACATTAATGGCTGCGTATTAAGTTATTCGAAGGGGGCCCAAAATTGACACTGTTATACTTTGCCAAGACACTGATGACTTTGCATTGTGACAAAGTGTTACGTCATCAGTGTTGTTCCAAAAGTGTACAGTTCCCACTTTCGTGAGTTACTACACCATATGTGACTCACTCCCACCTCGGCTGTTTACATCATTTTAAAGCTGTACAACGTCGCAGTTGGTGGCTGTGTGGACCACTCCCCGGGTCAAGGGCCCCACGGCGGAGCCATGATCCTCGCGCCATGCAGCGGCACAGGCAGTCAGGTAACCTCGGCAACAACCTCCTCACGCCGCCACAAAGCAAGATGCAGGCCACAAAGGTAACCCCGCCGGTCGTTGCAGCACTGCGATCTCAACTCTGACGGGGAAGTGCGATGGGGCCCCGCGGGGGCGCTGTGTTTGGGCGCCCTCGGAGAACGGGTGGTTCTTTCCCAGTGTCAGCCGCCAATCAGCGAAAGGCTTCAGTGGACCTTCATAAAGGTAAAGTAGGGATTGTATTGACGTGGTTCAGAATGGCGGAGGATATTAAGTGGTATTTTTCAAACCTCTCGAGATCACTTTCAAATCTGCACGGTTTTGATTTGCTCCAGCTGAGTGGCCAGTTGCTCCACCGGCAGTCCCAGTTGTGTGTGGAGGCTGTGAAGGACGGACGTCCCCCACGGAGCATCCCCTCGGACGAAGTCGGCGCCCACACGGGTGAGGGGGACCTCGTCCTGCGCCCCTGCACGCGACATCCGACACAGCAGTGGTACTTTGAGCAGCTAGTGTCACCCTAATTAGCCCGACAAAGGGCTCAACTGCTTTTGACTTCATATTGGCGCACTGTCTGCTAATTGTGAAGAATATATGCAGAGTTGCGTTTTGTTAATCAAGCAGCTGGTGCCTTTGACTCTTTAGAACCCACCCCTCGATCTGAATTCTGCACTTTGGAGGTTTCCTAATAGCTATCCCTCGCTATAACAAGGATCATCTTTCACAGCTTCGCCGTTTCAGAGATTTTTTTTGGTGCATTTTTTTTTTTTTAACAGTGCATTGTGTTCTGAATCCTGATTTGCAACCGGACAGTAGACTAATGTCAGCAGTCTCCGCGTCTCATCACTCAACAGCTTGCCAAATTTTGCACCTGTCAGTGTTCTAACATTCGACACGTGATCAGTTGTTCTCATAATTTTTTATTTATTGATTTTTTTTTTTAATTCAGTTAGCATCAGTATGGGAACACATCTTTTAAAAAATATAAAATCTCAAATCAATAAAGAAGAGAAAGTACTTTTTTTTCCGGGGGGGTGGGGGGAGGGTCTAACTTTTGCTGAAGCACCAAAGTTCGTTCCCCCTCCGGAACACTTGTTGAGAATCTGCATGTCCTTCAGGCACCGCTCGTTTGTGTCCACTAGAGAGCGCTGTTCTTCACCTCATCGCCCGGCTTTGTTTCACTCCCCGGTCACTTTCAGCGTTTCTTTCCGTCACTAAGTGGCGCTCAACGCTCGCATGCGTGTCCAGCAGCTGTCCACCTGATAACAGGTGTGTTTGCTTGAAACGAGAGCGACGTTGACAGTCACGCTATCAACACAAATATATTCAGAAGCTAGCCATCTGTCTCCAACGGAAGCGCCTCAATGGGGGTCAACGCCGTTCACATTTGACTTCACGATTCATAAATTGTGGTCGTGCTGCTTTCGGGAGGCAACGCTGATTATCCTCCATCCATTTTTTTTTAAATAACGCATCATAATAAAAGAACAGTCCAGTGAATTGTGTTGTACGACACTCACAGCTGCTGGAACTTTGCTACATTTTGATGGCCAATGTGATTTTCTTTCATAAGCATTCAGCGGATAATTTATTACCCGACAGACTCGTCCAAACTCAGCTGTATTTTAGAATTACTGGCTCAGCCTTTGTATTGGTTCTGTAAGCTTTTGTTAAATTGTTAATTATTATAATTCTATGTTTGAACATTACAGTATTGTCCTCTTAAACATGTTTATGTTGAGAGCGTCTGATTGGCTGGAGGAAACAGGAAGTGTTTTAGTAGCCGGAAGAAGGTGTGTTCTCGTTCGGCCTGCGGGGCAGACGTTGAAAAATAAAGCTTCAAGTCTTTAAACGAAGTCTATCTCTCCTTTTGCCCATTCTTAACGTAGAGCCATCCATTCCAAAACTACGAACCCTTCAACTTACACTTCTTACTGAAGTATGCCTAATAAAGTGCCATGTACATCGAGCTCATTTATGCATAGCTTATTCGCGATACGATTGAATGCATGGATATTAAACAGAAAGCCTCGATGTAGAAAAGTTTTTGCTCGCGACTCGGGATGTGTGCGCAAGCCAGAGAAAAGTGAGAGTGATGGCTGTCTCCCTGCATTGCACGCTGCGGACAGACGATCATTGAAGCCATGTGACAATAATGGCACCCGCTGACAGGCAGTCTCTCACCCCGTCACTGTCGTCCCCCTCGGCTATTACCCGCCCCTCACCTGCGCGTGCTTCACCTCGGCTCTTTTCCTTGACGCACGCGAACGGAGGCTTCCAGACGCACCCGCTGCGCGCTTCTCAACGCGCAGCTGCCCTGCCAAGCGTCGCACTCTAGTGAGTGCCTCGTCGAGCGCATGCAGCTCCAAAACCTTTCAAGGGTGCACTTCACTCGTTAGGACGACTTCTCTTCACTCACTTTGATGGGGACTTCGATACCAAGCAGGGAAAATGCCTGTGATGAAGGGATTACTAGCACCGCAGAACACCTTTCTGGACACTATAGCAACGCGCTTTGATGGCACTCGTAAGTTTGCTTTTTTTAATTGTACATTTAAACGCGCTGGATATTTGAACTGTTCTCGAATATGTCCTGTGACTTTCGGAATGTTATTCGATTATCCTGGCATGGGATAATATCATAACACGTTGGCTGGAGACTGTGGTGACGTAGTTAACACTTGAGTGATGACTGATGGTATTTTGTCAATCTTTTATTATTGCTCGTGAGAGTGTTATTCATATTAGGATTCGTTGCCATATTTCCCCAAATCATAACAAGCATGTTTACGTGCACACCTGCAGAGAGCACCACACATTTACGAGAAGAAAAGCTGCTTTTATTTTATTTTTTTTAGAGTTTCTGTGTCGATTTTTACTAGTTGGCAACAACAAAAAAATCTATTTCATCCAAAATAATTTAAAAAAACACAATATAATCCCTTTTGTATTTTTTTAAACAATAACTTACAAACAAAAAGAAACCTGAAAGGTTTTTGCTGCCCTTTCCAAAAAAAAAAAAATAATAATCCACAATGGTAACTGAAATAAAGTAAGTGTGGTGATTCATTCACCTAACTTCAGTGCAGTCCACGTCGGTTCACAACAGACCCTGTGATGGTATGAAAGTGAGTGCACATCCTTGTCTGTCTCTGTGATTGACTGGCGATCAGTCGAGGGGGTAGAGTCTGTCTTTCACCAGAAGTCAGCTGGGATAGGCTTCCAGCTTGAATAAATAAAAGATGGATAGATGCTCACCGAATAACTCAAATTGAGGCAGATGTGGTACCATCCGGACCATGTTAAAATTGTTAGTGATCAGCACCATGGACAGTAGCACACAGCAGGCTTCTGTATGTCAAACACTCAACAAATGAACGTGACTTCCGGTGTCGTCCACACTCGTTTTGCGAACCTTTGTATCCGACAAGTCCCGCAGCTTTTAAACAAACAAGAGCATCTATCACAATTAATTGTACAGCAACAAAGGCAGCCTTTCTCCCTTGCTGGATTTGTTTGAACGTCTTGTATACACATGATGTATACTGAATGTGGTGACCTGACGTTTTTCCATTTATATGACGGAGTTGGGAAGGCTTATGTTGCCCAATTTGTTCACGTTGTAACTAATTTGATCGCGTCAAATACTTTGTGCTCCTGTCTGGGCGCGCCTCCGATATATTTATAACGTGTTTTCATTTATGTTACTTTGAGCTGTAAAATGCCACTGCAACCTTTGCGACATGACATTTCGGAGTGCACCCATTTTCATCCGAGAACACGATCCTGGAAGTTAACACGAGGTCATCATTTCCACAAATGCCAAAACTTACCGCAATAAATAAATAAATAACACTTTTCGGAGAGAATGCCAACAAGAGGAAGTCTGCTCAGTTGAAAAGGTGAACAGGCTGAATTTGCATGTCAATTTAAGATGGCGCATGCCAAATATTCGACGACAACAAGGGAAATTTAGTTGTATGAAAAGAATCGCGGCGCAGCAGTATTTCCAATTGAAAAAGGTATACCGCCTGACCCCCTGCCACCCCACCTCGACTTCTGTGCATTCGTACCATTCCCAACCTGGTCTTTATTTCCCTCTGCCTAACATTCTGCAGCTTCAGCATCATACAATGACTCCAAGCCGACTACGCGTGGAGCCATTAATCGCCCGGCCAATAGCTCTTTTCTCACGCTGGGGAATTGTTCCAGGACCTACAGCGCATTGGTTTGTCAAGCGAGTGTTGTCCTTGAGCGGGAAGGAAGCAAATGAACAGTGGGTTTGAACTGGAAGATGGGATCGAGGCAGCGGGGGCTATGATGGCCTTGCCGGGAAACGAATCTAAAGAGGTTCACGTCTATGCAAACCCCACTTCGACCTCACCTGAGGCCCATGCAGGCCTCTCAGACTTGGGAACAACATGATAAATGGACGCAAGGCTTTAACCCAGGGGGTCTGTGATTGACTGGCGATCAGTCGAGGGGGTAGAGTCTGTCTTTCACCAGAAGTCAGCTGGGATAGGCTTCCAGCTTGAATAAATAAAAGATGGATAGATGCTCACCGAATAACTCAAATTGAGGCAGATGTGGTACCATCCGGACCATGCGCCATGACGTGCATGTACCAAAAAAAAAAAAAAAATCTTAAACTATCTATCCAAACTATATTATTTTAGTTCTTGTAACTTTATTAATTGAGTGTTTTCATATACTTCTGCTTCTCTTCTGCTGCTTTGTGAATGGCCTTCACTTCATGTCTTTTTTAATGTGTCCAGCCAGGAGTTGGTTGATGGCTGACTCACAAGGGAGGAAGGGAAGTAGCGATTGCCTGAAAGAAAAAAAAAAAAAAATATATATAATGAACGTGACTTCCGGTGTCGTCCACACTCGTTTTGCGAACCTTTGTATCCGACAAGTCCCGCAGCTTTTAAACAAACAAGAGCATCTATCACAATTAATTGTACAGCAACAAAGGCAGCCTTTCTCCCTTGCTGGATTTGTTTGAACGTCTTGTATACACATGATGTATACTGAATGTGGTGACCTGACGTTTTTCCATTTATATGACGGAGTTGGGAAGGCTTATGTTGCCCAATTTGTTCACGTTGTAACTAATTTGATCGTGTCAAATACTTTGTGCTCCTGTGTCTGGGCGCGCCTCCGATATATTTATAACGTGTTTTCATTTATGTTACTTTGAGCTGTAAAATGCCACTGCAACCTTTGCGACATGACATTTCGGAGTGCACCCATTTTCATCCGAGAACACGATCCTGGAAGTTAACACGAGGTCATCATTTCCACAAATGCCAAAACTTACCGCAATAAATAAATAAATAACACTTTTCGGAGAGAATGCCAACAAGAGGAAGTCTGCTCAGTTGAAAAGGTGAACAGGCTGAATTTGCATGTCAATTTAAGATGGCGCATGCCAAATATTCGACGACAACAAGGGAAATTTAGTTGTATGAAAAGAATCGCGGCGCAGCAGTATTTCCAATTGAAAAAGGTATACCGCCTGACCCCCTGCCACCCCACCTCGACTTCTGTGCATTCGTACCATTCCCAACCTGGTCTTTATTTCCCTCTGCCTAACATTCTGCAGCTTCAGCATCATACAATGACTCCAAGCCGACTACGCGTGGAGCCATTAATCGCCCGGCCAATAGCTCTTTTCTCACGCTGGGGAATTGTTCCAGGACCTACAGCGCATTGGTTTGTCAAGCGAGTGTTGTCCTTGAGCGGGAAGGAAGCAAATGAACAGTGGGTTTGAACTGGAAGATGGGATCGAGGCAGCGGGGGCTATGATGGCCTTGCCGGGAAACGAATCTAAAGAGGTTCACGTCTATGCAAACCCCACTTCGACCTCACCTGAGGCCCAAGCAGGCCTCTCAGACTTGGGAACAACATGATAAATGGACGCAAGGCTTTAACCCAGGGGGTGCCCATTACGCCGATCGCGATCGACCGGTAGATCGCGGAAAGGTCCCAAATCGCTCTCGAGGGGTGTAGAGGAGGAAAAAAAACAAACAACCATTTGTGTGTCTTTTTGCATGTTAGTAATATATTTTTTTGTGTTAATGTACACTGCACCCTAATCATCCTATCAGTCTCATTTTCACAAAACGTATTAAAAAAATAAAACAAAATAAAGCAGGTGTGCGCGTGACCTGCGTCGCCGGAAGTTGTTAGCGCTCAGCAGTCTGCGATTGCAGCTTGTGATCAGAGCTGTTGCGCTATATCTTTTCTCGTTATCACGATTCTCATTCGGAGTTTGTTTCGTGTACAATTCACCGAGGGCACGGGCAAAGAATTGGAATCGAGAGGGCCGAGGGAAGCACTTTAAAACGGTACGTGTGAGCTACGATAGTTAACGAGCTGCGTCAACAAGTGCGTCGCATGCCTCCGTGTCATCGCTGGTTATCACTATTGGTGTACGAAAGGGATTAAACTGTAAACTTTTTTCAACCTATACTTTTGTGAGATTTAGTTGCTTGGCTATAAAAGTCGCTTGGGTGTCATGAAAGTAGTGGCAAGCGAGATTTATATTGAGAGCTGTGAAAAGGCACTGATCACTCGATGCTCTGTGAAATAACGCTGATGAATGTCGCCGCCGCCGAAATCATATAAGCTGCTTGAATGGGCAAGCCGCTTTAATTGCCAGCACTTTAGATCCCTTGAAGGACGCCTTTGTGAATAGAATCACCGCGCAATGTGTGACAAAATCAAAAGAACATTAGCGCACCACTTGATGTGTTCATCATAATGAGGGAGATCAAATATTCAAGTCGACGGACTGATTACTTTTCAGGATGATTATTTTGGTCCTGTTGAATGTCTTTCTGGATTGTAATATTTTTGATGTGTGCTGGGCAGTAAGATGCCGAGTTGCGACGACACTGTCGGGTCAGGGAACTGTTCATGTGAGGACGAAGGGACGACAAAATGATGCATTTAAAAAAAAAAAGAAAAGTACAGGGAGAGACGAAAAATGAGAACTCTGTTATAGAAAAGGAAATTGAAACTGGATCTTGGACAAATGTTGGGAAAAAAAGGCGACAAGAGGTTTGGGGCATACCTGGTTAACAGTTCTTACCAGTAGGTGGCGGTAATGTACTTGAAAGTTTCTTGCCACCCCAAAAACTCAAGAAGAAGTCAAAGGTCAGAGGGGACACCAAGCTACATCCTGTTTTTGGACTGCTAAACTCAACGCGAGCTACGCCGCCATTTTTGGATCGCCATCTTGGAAAATCTGTCCAATTTGAGGTAAATTGTACAAAGATTTATTCAATCACTTTACTGAAGAAATAGAGTACTCATGATGCGTATTTTTGAAGCGATTTGACGAACTCCGTTTGATGCTAATTTACTTCAGTCAGCCACAATGGCTTTTTTTTTCAGCAATTGTCCTTAAAATTCGTCCCAATGAAAGATTGACGAAACTCCCGCCTTGCGACGGTTGTCATAAATCGATATAATATGACATTTAAATACCACAAAATGATTGTAGTTAATGATAAAATTCCA